AGTAGGGGACTGGCAGGGGCCATGGCCCTGTCATGACCCAATTTTTCTACTAAAGCACATGAGGTTGAGAAGAACTTTAACATGTTAGTAATTTATGTTTGAATCTTTTAATTAACTTATACCCCACTAATCTTCTAATCCTGGTTCCAGTCAGTCTTTAAAGATCGTACCAGAAAACAGAGATTTTTCAGCAATAGTGCATCTCAAAAGAAAAGCCAAAACAAGAAACCAAAAATCTAACAAACCAGTCATGTACACCAAACACATAGTTGACGTAGCAGATGCTACATACACTATCCCAAAAAAGAGAGAAATATTTGGCTTTCCATCCCCAGCTACTAGAAATGTAAATAAAATTACCCTATATCATCTGGGACAACCAAGCATCTCAAATGAATGAAAATGGGAACACAGAATTTGATGTAGCATTATAGCGAAGGGTCACATACACTAAAAAACTATTAGTTCCCTTCCCAACTAGAAAGGCTGGTGACAATGAAATAACATCAGTCATTAAATATTGTGGTATCATAAATAAAGCATAGGTTTCTCATCATGCAAAGCTGCAGACCAATCATGTATAAACAGAAATTGCCAAAAAAGAATGTAAGTGATACAGAGCAAAGGTAGCTGAGATTAAATTCATAATACATTGACAGTTACATGTCATAAACCAGTAAATTCCATCTCATCTAAGAAAAACTTGAGCATAATGCATTGCAAGGTACATTTAAATTTTAAAGACCTGCAATACCTCCGTGGTTCGTATGAAACAACGACAGTGTCTTAGCAAGCACATAATAAACAATCCACTAACAAGTCTATCACAGCAACCAACTGACTGTATCCTAATTTAAGGCCGAAATATTCCTTTACCTAACTCTTCCAATTTAAAGGTAAGCAGGGCTGCTGAGGAATGGCAGTGCAGCGAGAGACATGAGCATCTCTGAGGAAGCATCACCCTTCCTGGCGTGCTTTGCCCTCGCAAGCTGCAGCTGCATGTCCACAAAAGTCTGCATCCGCTTCAGCTCCAGATCCTTGAGGAACTTGATTCGCTGCCTCTCCATCTTCTCAGCGTGCCGCTGCTTAGCAGCTTCCATGCGCTCGTACATATCCGCGAAGGTCCCAATTGCCCTCGCTAGCTCCCCGAATCCACCACTCCCGCTGCTCATCTTCCTCTTGCTGCCAACAGCAGGAGCGGCAGCACCACCACCGGAGCGAGAAGATACAGAACGCGACGGCGACTGCTGAGAGCCTTCGTCATCGTCATAGTCGTTGTTGTTGTAGCCATCTTCCGAGTCGGACTCCGCGGCAGCAGCGGCGGCGGCCGCCGCCTTATGGATGAGGTTTGCGGAGGGGAGGTCAGAGCCACGGCGGTAATTGTGCAGCGGGAGCGCCATGGGGAGCGGCGGCGGCGATTGCGGCGATGGGGAGCGCGGCGGCGTCTGGCGCCTCCTGAAGACGGGCAGCGCAGCGCGCGGCGGGGACGGCTTCTTGCTGCCGGTGAGCGTGGGCCCGACGAGGAGGTCGAGCTGGCCGTAGAAGGCCCATGGCGATGGCCCGCCGCGCACGCGCTCGGCCTTGTACTTCTTCTTGAGCGTGTCGACGCGGTTCTTGCACTGGATGTCGGTGCGCGGCGGGCGGCGGCGCGCGGAGGCCCCGGGGCGGGAGTTGACGGCGTCGGCGACCTCCCGCCACTGCGGCTGGCGGAGGCTCCCGCGGTTGAGGTCGAGGTAGCGCGAGCCCCAGGCGTCGACGAGCGCGGCCGTCTCGCCCTCGCTCCAGCAGTCCTCCCGGTACGGCAGGTTCGGGTTGGGCGGCGGCAACTTCCCGTCCATGGCTCTGGCTCCTCCTCCCAGATCTCTCTCCGCCTCACGAGTCACGACGACGACGACGACCTAGCCTTCTCTCTCTCGTTTGCGCGTGGAGACGGGCGAACGGACGGACGGGCGGCGGTGGAGGAGACGAGGCGGGGGTGGGGAATAAAAGAAGGGGGAGGGGGCGGGCGGCGAGGGGAGGAGCGCCGGCCCGTGGGCCGTGACGACCGCGACGCGGCACGTGGAGGAGCGGCGCAGATGCATGGGGCTGTCGTGTGGGCGAGCGGCCGCCGTTGGATCGGTCCGTCGGTCGGGTTTGACCGGGACACCGAGCCGGCGAGGGATTAGCTGTTGGCGCTGGGGACGGAGTCGGAGAGAGAGAGAGAGAGGGAGAGAGATCGGCCTCGGCGTGGTTCGGTTGGCCGGCCGGCCGGCACGGCGCGGGATAGGTGGGTGCGGGTGCGGGTGCGGGTGCGGGCCGGGGAAGTTACGCGGCTCGCGCCGTGCCGAAGCAGGACTCGTGAACCGATCGCGATTTCGTGGCGATGGTAGACGGCTCGCGGCTGGCCGCCGTTCGTTCGGCGTTCGTTCGGGGCAGGCGCGCCCGCTCAGCGCCGAAAGAGATGGGTGCGGCTGCTGGGCGTGGAAGAAGTCCGGCAGTTGGGTGCTTTGTTTTCGGCGGTTTCCTTTTTGGCACGCCGAGTTTCGCGGTGTGCCACTGACCATTGAGTGAGGCTGTCATTGACCACAGTTGTGGTTGCTTCTCGCCGTAGCGCCAACGACCCGTTGTTTATTTTTTTAATCACAATACAAACGTCCCCCGGCCACCTCACTAGTAGCCTAGTAGGTTTGACTACAAGGAATCAACGTCTAATCAATTGAACTATGCTCAGTTCGTACAGTAACTGCTAGTCCTATACCCCTCGTGCGCACGAGAGCAAAATATAATGCAAGTACCGTGGATATGACAATATAAGTATAGCTCTTGTTCGCTTCTCTTATAATCTGTATTTTTCAGCTTGTATTTTCAGCTGAAACAGTGTTTTTTCTCTCACAACAAATCAGTCGGAATAGTATTTCGATTTGTTTTTTCAGCGAAACGAACGGGACCTAATGGATATGGTCAGAAAATTGAAGGGAACAAGGTATCGGAGCAAGTGTTTACTCCCTCGGTCCCAAAATAAGGATCTGTCTAGATGCGAATCTGTGTTGAAATTATCTAAATGCATGCTTATCTGCATGTTGTTTGGTTGAGAACCCACTGTTTGGTTGATATCCCAGTAAACTTCTTGCTCCAAACAAAGGTAGCTCACCCAGACCGATGAAAATGAGGGTGTGTTCGTTTTGCACCCAGCAAAGCTACGTGGCGCGAGCGCGGCTCCGAGGCGTCTGATTTGGGATGTTGGGTGTCAAAACGGTGGCCTGGTGGAGAGCTCACCTAGGAGTCCACTATACAAACAGGCCCAGAACATCCGTTCCGGTCACCGTTCTTGCCTGGCCTAATGGCCATGATTACACACCAATTTGTATGGCCGCAGCATAGCTTTTCTAAAGACACGCCAAATCAAGCAAACGACATCCCCAATGATTACTACGTTTCTTTCATTTTATTTTCTATCGCTCTTTTTAATTTAAATATATGTAAAAAGTATTGTGATTACAAAATATTTATTTTAATCTTATTATAAATCTAGAAAAAGTATAATGTAAATTGTTAGTATCTAAAAGAGTCATTAAGAGTTCAACTAACCATATACAATGCCATGAAACATGGATTAATGTTTTATTCTCTCTTACCGGCGTTCTGAGGCATAGGCTTCCAACCAAACAGATTATGACCCAAATTGCCTCACCAGTGACCAGGCATATTCCATCATATTTCCAGGCAACTTTCATGCAACATTTTTCAACAGGCAAGTTGTCCGGGTCTCCGACCAAACATAAAGTGCTCATCTCGCACAGGAGTCAACAAATCTTAAAGTTTGATTAGATCTATAAAAAAATATGTTTAGTGTGAAAATATATGATGTGATTAATCTGATGATATCTATTTTTGGTGTCATAAACATTACTATTTTATATCTATTTGATCAAACATAAAATTGCTTAACTCTTCGAAGTGCGAGATGTGCACTAATTTAGGACAGGAGTATGAACCACTACCAAACACAATGTCATATGGCTAGAAAAACTAATTAGATCGCATGGGACATATGGTTCTCTTTCCCAAGTAGAAAGTTAATGCATGGGATATTTAATTCAACTTTAAAAGATAAAAACAATTGTGCAATAATCTCTGGTTTTCTATAAGAGCAGCTCCAACAGTGTTAAAAGATATAACTCATATAACATTTTATTTTGTACAAATAAGAGAATAAAGCTCGTACTTTTTTTAATGACGCATATGTCTATGCTTACATGTATTTCTATATTAACTAGAAGCATACCCACCTCGCGCATTGCCGCGGGAAGGAGATTACGTGGTATGATGACGTGAGCAACAAAATTATTTTGTCTTACTGACGTGAACATTACAATTGCATATGCCAGTAAATTTTAATTGTATGTGATAGTGCATTGACTAGTTCGACATCTTGCATGTTGAGATAAATAGCTTCCTACTCCCTCCGTCCAAAAACAATGATTGAGTCAATAGATCTCAAATTTGACCAGATATATAAAAAATACTAAGAATTTATGATATGCAATATATCATTGGATAAATAATAAAATATATTTTCATGATAAACCTAATTAGAGATATAATTTTGATAATATTTTTATTCCAAATCTAGGATGGCATGACATTCTTTTTGGGCGAGAGGGAGCAGTTCGCACCATGCACTTCCTTACCATATTCCCCGGAGTACTGGCAACATTCTTCAGAGTACTGGCAACATTCTTCGGAACAGTCACTTGGTTGATTCGAGGGCATGCTACTTATCTAGAATAAGGTACAACAACCAGCTTGCCCTGCGATGCATCTCGAACCAGACATGTTCTTCTATAACCAGGGAAGCATTTTTTACATTTTTGGGAGAAAGGGTCGCCGTTGTAAAAAAACACAGGGCTTCAATATGTGACCTCAAGTCCGCAGAATCGGCAGCCTTTTTTTTTACAGGTTTTATACAAGAAATGTTTTCACCTGTGCAGGAATTGGGTGGACGAGCAAGCAGCTTCCATTCAGCTGACAGTGTATTCGCAGTCCAGCAAACGGGTTAGGATCTCCTGGCAGCTCGGCCGATTCTCAGGCTCTGCCCAGCAATCTGCACCAAACGAAAAACAGTAGTCGCTAAGCTGCAACAGAAGCAGGATATAAACTAATCAACTCAACATGAGTTGACGTTTCTAATTAATCTGATCTCCACTTAGTTAAATCACACAAGAAAACTCGGAGATCTCTGAATATTTACCTGCAATTAACCTGCCGAGAGGTCCTTCAGGAATCTCAAGCCGTGACCCTTCATTAGCAACTGCGTACACCACCTGTAATTGCCCAGACCATCTGTCAGTTAACTGCTTTCCCGACCACAAGAACATTGAGAACATGAATGCATCAGACAGGCACTTTAAAAGTGGTCTCAGGCTCTGAGCCAGAAGAACAGCATATTTGGGCAAGGGATAAAAATGCACCACATGCTTCAGTCAATGCTGCAACTATATTGATAAAATAGTGGATGAACGATTACTTGAACTGGGGAGATGCCTTCCCATGGGCGACTCAACGTGCACAGCTCCCACATGATAACACCAAGGCTGAATATATCACATTTCTCTGTAAAAGGTTCATTCCGTATAAGCTCAGGGGCCATCCATTCTGGGGTGCCAGCAGAGGAATTATCAGTCATAGGACTATCAATCATCACTCGAGATAGACCAAAGTCACAGATCTTGACAGTCCAATGCTTGTTCACCAGGCAGTTTGCACTTTTGAGATCCCTGTGAACTATCTTCATGCGGTGTATGCACATCAATCCCCTTTTAAGTGAACAAGATAATCTTTCAGATAATTCATTAAAAGGCATGTCGACAGGATTAAAGTCTAAGTGACGAAAATAACTAATTCAATTGTCTTAAAAAGGCTGATATCATTTAAGGTCAAATTGCTCAGTAACACTAGAGCTGTGCAAATGGGAAAATAGCATCCATCATGTCATTAACATGGCATCTTCATATTGGATGCTACTTTCCACTTCACGCATGCAGCAGTGCTACAACAGCAACAAAGCCTTTTAGTCCCAAGCAAGTTGGGTAGGCTCAACAGTGCTACAAAGAAAAAATATTTTTTTTAAAAAATGGTAGAAGAAAAACATAGAGCAATAGTTATTCTGCAATAGAAAAGATCATACCTGCATATATCACGGATAATTTTCAACCTCCTACGCCAACTAAGTTTCTTTTTCTGACCACTCGTATGGATGAGATAGTACAGTGATCCCATTTCCATATATTCAGTAACCATTGACAAGTGTGGAGGTGTAATGCATGCACCAAGAAACAATATAACTACAGAACACAAATATATATATACACACGGTTAGAAAGCAATCTTACAAGAAATAAGGTAGTTTAGGTATCTAGTGTGGAGCAGTTTGAGAACTGTTTCACATCAGTCAAAAGGGATGGTTACCATTTGGGTGTCGTAACCGGCTGAAAGGAAAGAATAAGTTACCACAATTAGTGTTAATATATAATGAAAAATAGGACATTGAGTAAAAAAATCAAGAGAATTTCTGATACCTCAGGATGTATATCTCGTTGCAAAAATCTTCCATGTTTTCAGTTGTCAGATCCTGTTCTAGAAACACTTTGATGGCAACATCAGTTCCATTCCATATACCACGGAAAACTTCTCCAAAGAATCCTGATGAAACAATTCAGTAAATAGTTATAGCTTGGTAGCCTATAATCAGGAACAAAAATGTCAAAAGACAACCAGAAAAGAATTGTGTAATTTCTAAGCAGAAGAATGAAATATGAGATAACAACAATGCAAATATAGTGAAGGACATAGTGAAAAGAGAGCACACCATAATAGAAGCACTAAACAGGTTTTGCAGCACATTAAAGAACATAATTGGCAATACAAGAATATGATAGGATATTGAGCATATAAGCTATAATAAGGACACTGTAGACTTTAGTGAATATAGTTGAGGAAGTTCAAGGTTACTTACCTATTCCAACCCGCGTGCCAATTGTTATCTCGGAGAAATCTATGTTCCATTCCTCAAACGGCAGCAAAGGCTTATTAAGAAATGGGGAGCTCTGGAAAACTTTGTTCCATGCCAATGCCATCTTCTCTTTACTTATAAAATCATCATTTTTGGGGGTAACTTGACCCCTATATTCATGAGGCGAAGAAGGTAATGACACGGCCTTCTGAGTAGAACCAGTTCGGTTTCTTGAGTCACTGTCAATAGCACCAATTCCCCGAGATGCATCATCCTAAACATGAATATAAATTTTGAGCCCAAGCTGCCAAGGTTCAACTAACAATTACATTTACATGCACAGGAAAATATGCAGTGGAAACCACATCTTAGGTGGAAAATGGAAACCAAATAAAAAATAGTATTTCGATCCCTAAACGAAAATTTGTAATTTGGCACATCTACAGTACATCCATAGATGTACCCCTTTTTTTGCAAAAGTGCGACTAAGTACATCTTGATGGGATAAGTCTCTGTGTTGGCCAGTCTTTGTGGGGCTGCAGCATATGGTCCTTGTGGCTGCATGGTGGTCTTGCTGCCCATCTAGGACAGCATCAAGGACGGCATCCTTGACTGGCTAGGACAACATCTTAACATCTAGCATCTTGGCATATGCTTGGGCATATGCTTAGCTAGCAGCCTATAAATATGTATCCCCAACCCCTCAGGTTGGCATGCCATTTGTGTGAGAAATAAACCAGAAAATTGCCCCAACTCCTAGTGTCATCCTCTCTCGATGAGAGTAAGAATTCTGCTACTAACAAGAGTAAGAATTCAGCGACTAACAACTGGTATCAGAGCCGTACTATCCTGTAGCCTGATCATCTCCTGCTCATCTCCTTTCCCAGCCTCGCAACAACCCCAGCTGGGAGCAGCAGCAGCTCCGGCCGCTCCTGCTCACTCCTCTCCCTCTGCGCAGACGAGCAGCAGCCCCGGTAGCGCGTCATGTCCGCAGGACAGTCTTAGCGCTCGGTCGCCTCGAGCACGCGGCGTCGGCAGGAGGCCGAACTTGCCACGGCAGAAAAACGCGAGTGAGCGGCGGCAGAGACCGCTGCGGCGGCGGCAAGGGCGTCAAAGCTGGCAGCAGCCAGAGCGGAGGCGGAAGCAGCGGCGGCGGCGGATCAACATAGCGCAGCATTTGCTTGACGACAGCGGCACGCGCGGACCTCGAGTCTTGGAGGGAGGCGGCAGCGGCCTGCGCGGCGGCGCGATGGGCAGCCCGCGCCCACGCGGCGGCAACGGCAAGCAGAAACAGACGGATCGCCGGCAGCGCTCCTGGAGGAGGCGCGCACGGCAACGGTGGCGGATGGGTCGATGGAGAGCGCGGCCTTCACAGGCAGCGTGGCTCTCTCCCCGGATTGGTACCGTGGTTACCACAGGCTCCAGGCTGTTGTCAGGGACGTCGGCCCCGGCGGTGGGTGGCCTACCCTCACTAAGACCAACTACGTCGAGTGGGCTGCAGTGATGAAGGTAAAGCTTCAGGTGCGGCACATGTGGGAGGCAATCCGGTACGGCGACGTCGACTATGACCAGGATCGACGGGCGCTGGATGCCCTCATCGCTGCAGTCCCGTCCCGAGATGCGCTTCTAAACTTACCAACAAGCGGATCGCCAAGGAGGCTTGGGGCGCGCCATCGCCGCAAGCGCGCGCATCGGCAGCGACCGCGCCCGCAAGTCCACACTGCAGGCACTTCGCAAGGAGTGGGAGAACTTGGCCTTCAAGCTAGGTGAGGACGTTGACGACTTTGCTCTCCGTCTCAACACTCTGTTGCAGAAGATGGTGCAGTTCGGCGATGACACCTACGGCGAGGAGAGAGCTGTCGAAAAGCTCTTCCGCTGCGTCCCCGAGAAGTACAAGCAGATGGCTCGCTCGATTGAGTCCCTGCTGGATCTCTCCACGATGTCGATCGAGGAGGCGATAGGTCGCCTCAAGGTCGTCGACAGCGATGAGCCACAGTCTCTCGGGGCCCATCACCACTGGCGGGAAGCTCCTCACTCGGGAGCAGTGGGTTGCCTGCCAACGTGACCGGAAGAAGGGGGAGCCTTCTTCCGCGACAGGCGGCCGCAAGCGTGGCAAGGCGCGCAGAGACGCCCAGGCCGGGGCGCGAGGACGTGCCGAGGGTGATGCCCACGGAGGCGCCTAGGGCGGCACCGCCGGCAAGCACAAGCCCTGGCCCGACGACGAGACGACACTGCCGCCGCAGCTGCGCGGCTTAACCATTGGGCCAAGGACTGTCGACAGCCACGACGCGGCCAGGCCCACGTCGCACAGGCGGAGGAGGAGCCGGCTCTGTTCATGGCACATGCAAGCATCGAGCTACCTCCAGCGGCATCGGCCGCAGCAGCTCCTCCACCTTGACGAGCCAAAAGCACACGCCCTCCTCGGCGACGGCTCCGGCAACGACAAGACTGACGGGTGGTGCCTCGACACCGGCGCCACCCATCACATGACCGGTCGACGGGAGTTCTTCACCGAGCTTGACTCTAGCGTCCGAGGCTCCGTCAAGTTTGGGGATGCCTCCGGCGTGGAGATCAAGGGCGTCGGCTCCGTCATCTTCACCACCGTGTCTGGTGAGCACAGGCTGCTCACCGAAGTCTACTACATCCCCGCGTTAAGGAACTCTATCATCAGCTTGGGACAGCTAGATGAGAACGGTTCGCGCGTGGTGGTTGAGGATGGAGTCATGAGGATTTGGGATCGCCGTCGTCGCCTTCTTGCCAAGGTAACGAAGCGCCGTCGACTCTACGTCCTTAACGTGCGGTGGCACAACCACTGCTGTCTCGCTTTCTTTCGGGACGATGAAGCGTGGCGATGCACGCAGCGCTTGGGCACCTTCACTTTGAGGCTCTGGCGGCTCGATTACCACGGAGAGATGGTGCGAGGCTGCCGTGCCTCGACCATGTGGAGCGGCTCTGCGGCGTCTGCGTGTTGACGAAGCGGGCGACTCCCCTTTCCCCAATGGGCGAGCTTCGAGCCAAGGAGAGGCTCGAGCTTGTGCGAGGGACTTGTGTGGCCCAGTGACACCGCCACACCGGGAGACGACGCTACTTCCTGCTGCTCGTCGACGACCTCTCCCGCTACATGTGGGTGATGGTCCTCGGCGACAAGGGAGAGGTCATGGACGCCATCGGCGCGCCAGTAGTCAGCTGCGGCGGCGAGTCGCGCCGCAAGCTGCTGCGCGTCTTCGCCGCAGACCGACAACGGCGGCGAATTCACGGCGGCTGAATTCGCGTCGTCTTCTGGCCGATAAGGGGGCATTAAGCGCCACAACTCTGCGCCGTCTGACCGCCAAGAAGAACGGCGTCGTCGGCGAGCGCGACGCAACCGCCAGACGGTGGGGATGGCTCGGGCCCTTCTCAAGCGAGGGGGATGTCGGTATCTTCTTCGGAGAGGGTGGTGGTGTCGGCGTCGTCACATCCTCAACCGCTTTCGCTTACCAAGGCGCTTCGGCGGCAAGAAGACGTCGTCGAGGCTTGGCATGGGCGCAAGCCGGCGGTCTCCCACTTGCGGGTCTTCACCGCCTCGCGTTTGCCAAGGAGCTTGGCCACATCAAGAAGCTCGACGGCGAGAGCACTCGGGAGTGTTCATCGGCTACGCGGAGGGCTCGAAGGCCTACCGCATCCTCGACCAAGACACGGCGTGTGCGCCGCGCGCACGCGCAACGTTGTGTTCAACGGCGGCGAGGATGGCGTCGGGACAAGGCGGATGGGCAACGGCTTCGGCTCCGACGTCGACGACTTCATTGTGAAGAGTACGTCCACTTCGAGGAGCTGGGAGTAGGCGGCTCTTCTTCGACGAAAGCGCGTCTACCCCAAATCCCGAGCCTCCACCGACCCCGGCACTACTCATTCGACAAAGACCACGCTCTCCGGCCAGACCTCGGTGCGATGAGTTCTTCGCACGCTCCACCACAATCGGCACCGCCACGCACTCCAAAGACCGACAGGCACCTCTCCGCACGCGTCTACTCCAACACCAAATAAATGTCGAGCACGCACCCGGCTGAGCTTCGCTACTCCGCTCTCTCACGACGAGGCGCGATCGACGCGCACCACGACGGCGGCGAAATGTTGCCGTACCAGACGATGGAGAACCTTCTCGGCGACCGGCCGGTGCAGGGGATCGGTGCCTCACGACTGGGGCGCAGATTGCACCTTGCGTGTGACGACGGCGAGCCTCGATCGTTTGCGAGGGCGAGAGACACGCTGCATGGCGCCGCGCGATGCGATTGGAGATGGATGCGGTTGAGAAGAACCGCGCTGGGAGCTTGGCGACCTTCCTCGTGGTCACCGCGCGATCACCCTTAAGTGGGTATACAAGTCAAGAGGGATGAAGCCGGCGCCATCGTCAAGCACAAGACTTCGCTTGGTGGCACGAGGTTTCGTGCGGCGGCAGAGAGGGTCAACTTCGACGACGCCTTTGCTCCCGTGGTACGGGATGGAGTCCGTCGCGACTCCTTTGCGCTAGCGCCCGTAAGAAATTTGGCGTGTTCATCACATGGACGTCAAGTCGGCGTTCCTTAACGGCGACTTGAAGGAGGTCTCGACGCACCCACCACCGGATTTGCGATCCCCGGCAAGGAGGGCAGTAGTTCGCTTTCGCAAGGCCCTCTATGGCTTGCGGCGAGCATCGAGGACGGAATGCCAAGTTGGATTCCCACGCTAAAGGGATGGGCTTGAGCAAAGCCCACACGAGGCGACCATCTACCGACGGGCAAAGGAGGAGAAATGCTCTCTTCGGTGGGTGTCTCGTCGACGACTATGATCACCGGCACCAAGGATGCGGAGGTGGCGGCATTCAAGGAAGAGATGAAGGCCACCTTCCGGATGAGTGACCAGGGCCTCTCTCCTTCTACACGGGAATCAAGGTGCACCAGATGACTCGGATCACGTTTTCGCCAGCATCACCTACACCAAGCGCGTCGTTGAGCTAGCCGGGCTCACCGATCGCAACCCACTCACTCCGATGGAGAGGTGAAGCTCGATGGAGAGGTCAAGCTCACCACGCGACAACCGACGGAGGAGGTGGGCGCCACTGCGATCTGGCGTCTTGTGGGGAGCCTTCGCTACCTCGCCCACACACTCGGCCGGACTTGGCATTATCCGTCGGCTCGTTAGTCGGTTCATGCAAATGATGACCGACGACGGCGAGCACCAAAGAGTCATGTGAAGAGGATCATCCGCTATGTTGCGGGGACTCTCGACCACGGCCTCTACTACCCTAGGTGCCCCGAGGCGCACACTTGCCGTCGCATAAATGACAATGACCACGCCGGTGACATCGACACCAGCAAGAGCACGAGCGGGATCCTCTTCCTCCTCGGCAAGTGCCTCGTTAGCTGGTAGTCGGTCAAGCAGCAGGTGGTGGCCCTGTCCAGCTGCGAGGCCGAGTACATAGCGGCCTCCACCACTTTGACTCAGGCGCTCTGGCTCGCTTGACTGCTTGGTGATCTCCTCGGCAGAGACACTAGAGCGGTGGAGCTCATGATAGACAGCAAGTCCGCTCTGGCCCTGGCAAAGAACCCCGTTTTCCATGAACGGAGTAAGCACATCCGGGTGAGGTACCACTTCATCCGAGGCTGCTTGGAGGAAGGGAGCATCAAGGCGAGCTACATCAACACCAAGGACCAGCTTGTCGACCTGCTTACCAAGCCTCTTGGGAGGATCAAGTTCCTTGAGCTCTACTCCAGGGCCAGGATGGTTCAACTTTCCTACAAGACGACGCACAAGACTTAGGGGGAGAATGATGGGATAAGTCTCTGTGTTGGCTGGTCTTTGTGGGGCTGCAGCATATGGTCCTTGTGGCTGCATGGTGGTCTTACTGCCCATTAAGGACGGCATCCTTGACTGGCTAGGACAGCATCTAGGACAACATCTGTTTTAGGACAGCATCTTAGCATCTAGCATCTTGGCATATGCTTGGGCATATGCTTGGCTAGCAGCCTATAAATATGTATCCCCAACCCCTCAGGTTGACATGGCATTTGTGTGAGAAATAAACCAGAAAATTGACCTAACTCCTAGTGTCGTCCTCTCTCGATGAGAGTAAGAATTCTGCTACTACCAAGAGTAAGAATTCAGCGACTAACACATCTATCTATACATGCACAATGGATGTGCCAAGTTACAAATTTTTTGAGTGATCGAAATACGTTTCCTGAATTGGTTTCCATGTTTCCACCTAAGATGTGATTTCCACTACAGATTTTCCTTCTGCACACAAGATACAGAGGACCAATATGGAGAAGAAGAAGAAAACAATGCAACTTGTAGAGGTATACTTTATTTGGGCAGTCATTGGCGTTGCTTTGGTCTTCCGTAACATATGAGCATGAACCTTCGACATGATCCCTTTGGAGGCGATTTTGCTTTAGTGTTTCGTTCATAGCCCGAACTGCCCTGTTAAACAGTTTAAATTTAAAAATAAATGCTTCTTGCTCAATAACAGTATCTAGACTACCTGTATGTATATGAAATTAAAACATAGCAGTATGATGATCGATGAGGATAACAGATAGCCAGTATGCAGGCTCAGCCATGAGCAAAACATGCCGTGAAAAATGAGATACAGTGAAAGCAACACATGCCATAAGTGAATTATGAAAAGGAAAAATGGACATATCAGCTATCATCAAATAATTCAAAACTAGAATTACCTCACAATGTCATCTCCAATCTCAGGGGTGATGCTAATGCTTCTTCGCCTTATTCTTCGAGCATTAGAAGTTGAAGTGCCCTCAAGACCATCTGATCTACAAGTGCATATGATTGTGTGTTCAATAACAGAATTGCTAACCAAAATATTTTTTCACACTTATGAGAAGAGGTTCCACATAGATTCATAAAAAAGAGGTTTCACATAGGGAAAGAAAAAAAGTAACAACTGTTTTGCCCTTAGTAAAGATTTCTTGACACCCCAGCCGGCCAAATCATAAGAAAACAACTCTTTTTTTCTCGAACGTGCAGGAGAGCTGCATTATGAATTAAGAAGAAAAGAGATGGGTTTAGAACCTATACAACACCCACTCACACCGAACAGAAAAGATTTTATACCCACTCTCCACTTGAAGAAAACACAAACCAACCTCGACCAGAACACTAGCCGCAATTTGGCAGAAAACAACTCATTTCACATACATTTTGCCCACAACTGTGCTCAGCTATTGAAGTACTCACATAATCAAGCATCCTTTTTGATTGGCTATATAGGTGAGACTGGAAGTTTCATGTATTCTATAGAGAACGAAAAGAGCTCTCCAAAAAGAAGAAGAAGAAGAAGAATACTCATCCATCTGGATAATGTTAGCTACAAAAGCCAGAACTTCTTACTGTGGCACTCATAGCCACATTCATAGTTTAGAAAAAGGATGAAAGAAAATACACCAAAAACTATTCTTTTGAATATTTCATTTATCGAAAATTCTTGATTATTGTCAAATGGTTTCCATGATTAAAACCTGACAGAGCAATTCAAAATGTAGTCCAGATAGCTCAAACTTTATTGCATCAACCATTGCAAACCAAGTTCTCTACACTTGTCAGGCTTTTAGTTCACACAGTTCAGTCTTCAGATTTCTAGAATATAGGAAATACATCACATGCCTAGAGTGATTCAAACATCAGTTAGGTTCTAACTTTAAAAGTGCCAGGTATTTTCGTATAACATATAAACTACAAAATGGAATATAATTTACACTTTTTGAGTTACTTGGAGCGAGAAATACAACGAGTGCGCCACATGGATCAATCATATTCCAGTTAACAAAATAGAAAAGCCAAAGCAATTTGTCTTTCCAGCGCCACAAATAACCCAAATCATGTATCCCGTATCTGGTAGTCGGTATAAAACCAGACACCACCAACTGAGAGCCATAGGAGTTCAGAATATGGTAAAAATCCTAAATACTATCGCAAGGGTTTCAACTCATTGGTTGTCTCAGTGGCATGGTGGATATGGAAGCATAGGAATGGTTGTATACTTGTGTTTTTTAGGGAACTCAGCCTAGTTTCAATACCATCATGCAGGATATTAGAGATGAGGTCAAATTGTGGTGTATAGCGGGGAGCCAAAGGGCTCTGTAGCATATGGCCTTGACTGTATAGCTGTTGGTCATTTCTTCTTTTTTTTCCGGTGATTTCGGTCGTCATGGTCTTGCCCCTCTAGGAGTTGTACGGGTCATTTAGACTCATTCTCTTCTTAACATAATGATATGCAGCTCTCCTGCGTGTTAGAGGAAAAAAAAGAATAGGGTAGAAATGCAGTTTCAAATTGAGCTTTGCACTATGAAGAAGAACCCAAACACTAAGTTGGTCTCAGTAAAGACAGAACAAATCTTGTATCCACTTCCTAGATAAATGGATATACACAATCATACAGTTGTCGCTAGCTAGGGAATAAAATGAAAATAAGCAGACTGAAGGAGCAAATGAGTGGAACTTATGACACCAGGACAACATATTAGTGACGAGAAGAATCAAGAACATGACACCCTAAAATAGCATGATTGGCAAACCTTGAAGCAGCTCCAGATTCTGTGTATTCTTGAAATGATTGCTTCTCACCACCAAGTATAGATCTTCCCCTTGCTCTCATTAATGGATGCTCAGGACTACACCAGGGAAAGGAAAATGAAAAGAGAAGTCCAATAAGTACACAGATACTCTGGGTTCAAAGACAACGATCAATGTCCATAACTATCATGTAAGTCACCACTCAAGTAGGTCAAAATAGGTGTAGATACTAAATGGAGAAAAACATGGAAACCATAAATCCATAATCATGAAACAACCAAAATCGGTTTCATAATACACATTCTAGTCACAGGACAGAAGTGGCATTCTGGTTCTTCCAGAAACTGACACGACCACTAGAACACAACTTTGAATATTGTTAGGGATGCAAGTGAGCCTGTGCATACCAACTTATTGACCCACTTCATTTGGTCTACAGACACATGCACAGAATGAACTAGAAATTGCATAAAAGTGTATATGGGTGGGTTTTGAGCCGACCCACTTCATCAACCGTATTGCCGATCTTTTGCCAGGGTGGAAGGCTGATCTTATGAGTCAGGCTGGAGACTGTTTCAGGTCAAGTATGTTATGACCTCAATGGTGGTCTATCTACCTTCCTCCTTGGGCCATCAAGGCTAGAGACAAAATCCGCCAGAGTTTCTTTGGAGGGGAAGAAAAGAGGCAAATGGTGGGCATTATTTGGCATGGCTAGTTTGTCACCTGAAAGAGCTTGGAGGGCTTGATCTTAAATCCTTTGGATGGACTTTGAGGATGCAATGGCTATGTCTTGCCAAAACGCAACCTGACAAACCTTGGGCTGCTTTCCCTATCCAAAGTTCATGCCTCGGTCAAGGCCTTCTGCAGTTCTGCCCAATTGCCATGGTTGCTAATGTAATGTGGGTAACGGTATACCACCTTATTTTGGACTGATAATTGGCTTAATGAAGATCCATCGCTGGTATGGCCCCTCAATCTTTTCGCTTGAATTCGAAAGAGAAGAGAGAACGGGCGTACTGCGAGAGGTCCTGATGGATAACTGATGGATTCAGGATATCAATGATGACTTTTCTGTTGCAACCCTCTCTGGAATTCTTGGTGCATGGGACTTGGTCACTATTCTGCAGCTACAGCCAGATGTACAGGATGATCATCGCTGGAGATTTGTGGAATCCAGTCAGTATTCACCAAAATTGGCTTATATGGCCTTCTTCAATGGGGCTATTTATTTTGAGCCCTGGGAGCTTATATGGAAATCTTGAGCACCAAAGAAATGTCTTTTTTTTCCATGACTGGTAGCGCATAATAGATGAAGGACTTCTGATAGAATTGCCCGCAGAGGAGTGCCTCATCCAAAACAGTGCCCTTTATGTGATCAAGAGTATGAGATAATTCAACATAGCTTGACAAATTGTCTTCTCCAGACAAGTTTGGTATTTACTCTTACGCCGCTCTGGTTTACCGGACCTCTCAGCACGAGTCAAGAGGTATTCTGTGAATGAGGCTTAGGATTAATACTTTGATTCCAGGACACTGAAAATGCGGAGTAAACTCATTGATCACCTTGGAAGCTTGGAGATGCAGAAATGAATGTGTTTTTAATGGTGCCGCACCAAGTGTTCTGGTTGTTCTTAGAAGAATTTTCAAGAAGGGAACCTCTGGCATAGGTCGTCAAGGACCTGGGCGCCTAGGGTTGGAGGCCCTTGGCTTCTCAATTCATAGCTTGAACCAGGTAATGGAGGTGCCAGGGTTTTTGCCTGACTACCACAGCAGGGGATGAGATTAAGAATAGTAGAGAGAGGGGGAGATTAGGGAATAACTTCTTTCTTGATTGCCTTCAACGAGTACAGGGGTACATATAGGAGCTATGCTCCATTGCTACTTGTGCCAGCCCTTAACTGCTAGCTAGCTGGCTATTTAATTCCTTAATCTCTTCAACTTCTACTTAATTACCTTAGAGACTGCAGCCCCTCCAGCCGCCTAAGCCTCCTTGGGTTCCTCCAGGCCATGCGCCCCCTTGGGGGCTGCCCTGGCTGCACCTCGTGTCCGAGGCGGCGGCTGTACTGTTGGCCCCACATGACATAGGTTGTTTCAAAAGGTTTGGAGTGGCTTATGTTAAGGTAAAAAGAAAAACTAGACTAGGAGATTACACTAATACCCTTGACTATTATACCTTAACAGCTTATGGCAGCTGCCTCCTAAAGGTTGTTTTAGTTGTTCCGATCGAGTTGTTTTGTGTATTAGGCGTGTGGGACACCTGAACAGGTAAGGTTGTGTGAGTTTGCATGTCTTGTAGATATTTTTTCTTTCTCCTTAATGCAATGATACAGTTATCATGTGTATTTGAGAGAGAGAGAAAGCCAACTTGCAACCCCAAGTATCACGAGAAGTAATTTTCATAGCACATTTAAAATACCATTTTCATATGGCCGACCATAAGTTGCATGAAGATAATGTGGGTCAAACTTGCAACAGTTTGAAGGCACAAGTTCTGGAGGGGCTACTAATGCCAAGTTATGATGATATCAATAGTGATATCTTCATTAAGGAACATAAGAATATTTGAAGATCAACCAAAAAGAACAAAGGTTAGTCCTCCAAAAGGAATCTTGCACACCTATCATAACGGATAGCACCTAGAATTGTTTCAACCATAATTTAAAAAACCCTTTTGTCCTCATCTCAGCAATAAAGGTTTCACAATAAGAAATTTAAGCAACTATACAAAAGATAAAGAGAACTGGACTAAAGTGATCAACGGTTAGAGTTGAATGGGAAATGGAAACCTGGAACTAGCACCACGGGGTTCCTCGGCAACTCCTCTCCTTTGGCTGCGCCTCCAAAAGGCATTTGCTATATTTGGTTCACTACATGACGTGCTGGTTTACAGAATTAGGAGTTAGGACCTTATAAGCAAATGTAATGAACAAGGAACCAAATTATAGACGCAGCTACCATAAAAAATTGCAGAATATATCATCTAGTGATGATATAAACAAGCTTTCCAATAAACTAGCTATGAAATCATTATTAGGTGTTACCTTAATTTCCCTTCAGAAAATGTCCTTGATCTCAACATCATATTACACAGTGATCGTCCAGATAGATTTGATGAAGATTCAATTCTGCACTGAGATAGAGACAAAATGTTCTCATCTTGCGCATAATCAAAACTGAGATGAAAAGGTATGAATATATACAGCTGACTGGTGGTCGCTCGTGTATCTGAGCATGTAAATTCCTCTATAGCCATGCTTTTCAAATGTCACACCTTGTGACAATAACATAGTACAATGAAATTATCCATATAGTTTTGCTGTCTAACATGCTCATATATTGTATATACTTCCCTTCATGCCACTAACAATCTCAGCTTCTACTGCTACCAGTGTGAAGATTCACTTCAGTAAAGTATCTACGAGCTGCTGAACAGCTGTTTAAGAACCTAAGTACCTATGTCTTCCAGCTATGGAGTACACCTTTTATTCCAAAGAAATATGATAGAATAATTCTCAGGGTACTCTCATTTTCTTCCATTACTATGGCTATAATTGCCTATATTAGAATTTTGTGTTACAGAGTAGAATACTATTAGCCTACCCAACAATGCAAGCCATGATGACAATCACTTATCTGCCTTGGAAAATCCTATGTTACTGCTATTTATTTGAAGGTTCAAGATAGAAATTCAACTGTATTTGACCTTTTCCTTTAAATTATTGAAATATGTGAAACACTCAATAAGTCAACAACTCAACATGCAAAATAACCAGTAAAACCATATGCGTTTTTTTCTACAACAAGTATAGAATTTTTTTTTATGGAACAAGTATAGATATTTACAGTATACGGAAACATAGACAAGACCTGAATCACATAACTGAGAGAAATATTTAATACATAAGCATACCCTTCAGCTTCAACTTTATCAGACAATCCATAAAGAGGGCTGTTGGGCTCAAGGGGAGAATCACAGGAGTCATTTTCAGCTGAGTCACTTTCCCCCGCAGCAGATATATGCGATATAAAGATAGCCTTAGCTGAAAACGGAATCAACTGGCCTGGAAATCGCATAAGATCCACTAGCAGTTCCATAGAGTTTAGCGAAACTACCACAGACATATGTTTGTAAGAGTCCACAAATCCAACAGCACCGTCATCAGGTAGACCCTATGAAAGACATATTGTAAGTATTTTTGAACTTATATTTTAACACAAACAACATATGCAAAACGAAGAACAGACTATAGAGAGAGAGAAGAAAGGGGTTTAAAGTAGACATACAACTACAAGTTTACTCTCAAGGCCAACGGCATCTGCAAGAACTTTAAATAGAATAGCTCGGGGTCGGCATGATCCATGTCTTATCTGCCCTAGAAGTTGTGGTCCTTTATTTCCAAAGAAATGGGTATCTTCAATCGAGCCTCTTGCTGGACAGGCATCAGGATTTTGTGGCTTGAAGCAGTCAAAAACCTATTATGGGAAAAGTAAGCTAAGTTTCACATGAACAAACTATAAGGCAATGCTTAGTAACTCTTAACATCATTTCAGCAAGGATGCCCTTAGTGTGGCTAATGCAAGGTGTCCAAAATTTCACATGGAAATGTTTGAACACCATTACACAAATGAGCTCTAAATGTTCTGTAGCTATAAAAAGTATCGATAGATGTTGTGATGAATTCATGAAACTGAGATCCAAAGAATTGCACATTGGAAGACAGAAAATTGTTAACTGTATCCAAATAACACGTAAAAACTTACCAAACCTGCTATTTTCTTTATCACTAATGCTGGGCTAGAGCTTAACCCTTTCACAAGTGCAACACTAAGCTGCTTCAACATGAAAATCTTCTTATCCCTCTCAGTGTCTACAATGATTATGTCAGCCTTAAGCCCATCTGCTTCAAGATTTTGCAAGTCATCTAGTGATGGAATTGTTGGGAAAGTCTTCTTCAACTTTTTATCCTGCATGAATTGATCACATGTTAGCAGCATAACAGTAGAGAAAATGAAAATACCAAACTCCCAAACTCATAAAGAATTGAAACAAAGAAAACTTTTCACTAAATTGTTATCTGTTTTCTTTAGAGGAACAAAATCATTGTATTGATCAAATTGTGAAGAAAGCTAACAAAAAATATTATGAAGTACTGAAATCTGTATCTAAGTTCTATCACTTTTCCCTTGATGCCTAATATTTAGAAACTTGTTTTTTTTATTGAATAAAGACACTGATAAATAGAAGTGATTAGCATGCTTTTGCAAACAGTTGTAAATCAATCTAGTGTGGTTTACTGAAATGTCTCCAGAAGGGGGGAAAGTACTTAGCTAAAGAGTAATCCTCACCGGGATGATTGAATAGAAACCATTAGGGATTAACCCTGAATAAGATCCTGTTGACCACAGTAATTGAGAAGCCTTCCAGGATGAGGACCTTAGATTACCCAAAACATCCTGCTTCCTTGATATGGAAGCAGACTCTATCTTCTCTAATAAGTCTGGTGGCCACCAATTAGGTTCACATGAACTAGCTTCGGATTGCCCAGAACTAGATGGTGTTTCATCCATTTCTCAGACAATGGAGTTCCTTAATCACAACTTACAGCCACCATCATTTGCATGACAGAATATGCCCTATAATAGTAGCTCCGTATTCAATAGGACCATTGATAAATTTAGTTCATACCTGTGCAAAAAGAGGATGTTCATATAAAATCATAGAAGATAAGAAGCCACTCTGACAACTTTCTCATTAGGAGGTTTTTGTAGAATCTAAAGCTTTTATTGCAACAATGCTTGCATGGAAACCTTGCATTCTCTTTCATTGCAAACAATTTATAGACAAATTCTACTGCAAAAATAATTGTGCAATTCAGGTTTCACATAATTTGAATTCTAAATTCATCCAGTAACGAAGCAAATGATTCAAAAGGCATTACTTTGTTAACCAAAAAAAAACAAAGGCTATCAGTGTTACAGTTTGTTTGAAAGTTAAGTATAACTTGCAAACTTCATAATATAATTCAACTACCTTTTACCTTTTTCTCTCAAAAACCACAAGCCACTTGATAGTAACATGTAACTGAAAAGCATGAGAACATGTGACTACATAAGCACTCCCAGGAGAGAGGGGAACTTTTTATCATCGACTTAGGCTTATTTAGTGATCTACATTGGCCGGCTAGCAAGTATTAGAAGTGGATCACATCCTTTCTTTATCAGCTGATGTGCATACTGATGTCAATTAGATCCTAAAAAAGGCAACCAACTTGAAATGTAATCACATGAAACTTTCCATGGGGCCTCTTTCCTTTGCTCACAACAAAATTCCAGTGTAAAGTCTGCTGCAGGAATAGTAGATTTGCATCCAACTCTGTCCAGTTTCACTGTCATCATAGATTCCTAGTACATTTCAAGAGCAGTGGGTACTGTTCATTTCGTCAAGACACGCAGTCAATTAAAGGCATCTATGACTGGGGACTATCTGTGGACCGTGTGCAGTTGGTGCATGACACCATGCATTCTGTGGTCTAGATCCAGCCTCATGTTCACCTGAATTGAGCACCACAGTAAAACCTCCAAGAAAGAAAGAAACAAAAGTCTCACGGTGACTCAGCCCATCCACACAACATACATTAGCCCCAATACTTAGCCCCAATACGGTCCAGAATTCCATAAACTACTATGCAATGGAATAAAACACTAGAGGTACATCAGCAACTCCGCTTCGGAAGCTAAAGCTATTTCCAGCCAAAATGGGCAGAATTGGGGCGGATGCTCGCAGGGCCAGGGCGGACTTGCGTCGAGCGAGCGGAAGTTAATTAAACACGCGAAAATTCTGCAAAACAAACTGCACCAGCACCTTGACTGTTTGGATATGATACGTAGAACGAGAAGTCCCATCTCCTGCTCCTACGGTGTCAACTAATTTCAACCTCCCAAACTGAAGGGGACGAAGAACCTAACCAACCGTGAGTGGGATCGGTAGGAGACTAATAGCGCAGCACGCAAATTCACGACCTACGAACCAAGAGAATGAGAGATTGGATCCGAATTGAGAGCAGAACCTACTCCCAGAGAAACAGGGCAACACGGGAAGCAAGCCAGGACCCAGGATCACTCACCGACGGAGAGGAGAAACCCTGGTTCATGTCCCCATGGATCTCCGTTCCGCTAGCTGCAGCACGAGAGTGGAGCGGCGGCGCCGCGGAAGCAGCGGACTGGCAGCGGCCGTGCTCGGCCGTGTCGCGTCGTGTGGTGCTCGGCGCGCGGAGGAGGAGCAGCAGGTGGGAGGCCAGCTGCAGGAGCCACGCTTCTCCGGGTGAAGTGACAGAGGAGAACAGCGAGGCGAGAGCGGGCGAGGTTGGGAGAGAGGGAGGAGGCGCCGAGGCGGGTGGGAAGATTACTGCCAGTAAAGTACGGTCTCCAGCTGTGGGAGGCGTCGGTACTCGCTGGAGCGAGGGAGGGAAGGAGGGAGAGGAGAGGGGAGGACCAGTGAGGCGGAGGAAATCAGGAAACCGTGGGGCCACGGCTTGGTGGGGTCGCCTCTCGCTCTATGCCCGGGTGGGGTCACCTCTCGCCCTATGCCCTGGTGGAGCCTCTAGTCTATGACTCTAGGTCTATATTGTATCTCACTGCAGTATCGACTTATCGTAATTGTATTATTATTTGTTGTGATTTTTTTTACAAAAGATATGAGAGAATTTACCACAAATATAATCACATAACTGACTTAAAATATATATAGTATTTTATACGTTAACACAACTACACTCATAACAAATCAGGCTTGGTAGTGACTATTAATTTGTAGAGTCAAAATAGATATGATACAAATCACTTTTCTCTTTAATATTATTTTTAGTATATAGATATAGATATAGATATGAAAATAGACTCGCGAATATGTTCGTGCATTGCAACGGGAAAAAATAAATGCTTGTACGTGAGAGTTGTTGTAAAATCTCTGGTTAGCCTAAAAGGGATGAATAGGCCTGTTAAAACAAAACTTGAACTTTTTGTCAAATTCAATCCGCAGTACTGCCGCTCTATGCCCACGGCACTGTCGCCCATGCAGACAACTTCGTGATGTAATTCAAAATATGTAAAATAAAACTTGGATCCAAGCAGTTACTGAGGTCCCTGCAAGTATATTGAACACAGAACGACAGCAAGAAGTGGTAGGAACATCACACACACATAGATCGGCCTCAAACGCTAGTAATCACTTCAACAACAATATGAATCACAAGAATGTAAAGCAAGCACAATGTGACACAATGATTTATCCTATGGTTCAACTCGTCACTAAGGCTTGTCTAAGTCCACGTTGTCGAGGTTAACCACTAAGGCTTAGGGCTTTCCAACCCTTCCTCGTTCTCAAGTCAAGAGACTTAACTCTTGAGATGAGGGGTGAGTTTACTAGCTGTAAGAGTTGGTTATAAATCTCCTGGGGATGCCACAAAAGTTAACAAGCTCCACGGGCTAGGAGCCAACCTCTAAGAGTAACAAACACAACCACCGAGACGTGAACCAAGTGCTCTTTAGAGGTTGGGAATCAATGGATGTGCTCTCTAATCGAGTTCGACATCTTTTTCTCTCAATGATTGATGGAGAAATCAATGGAGAAGCTTGGGAGCTCAAGGTCACTAACGGAGGAGAGAGAAGCTCTTTTCTATTCTTGGGCGAACTGGACGATTGGGAAACAGAGAGAGTCGTTGGGGAGGAAGGAGAAAGGTATAAATACCCCTCGGCCCCCAACGGTCACTTAAGTCGCGGCAATGACGCAACTCAAGTGTGGCAGTACCTCTCTTTAGGTGTGGCACTACCGCACCAGGCAAGACAGTAAGAGTAAGAGTGAAGTGCTGGCTATCTTGACTATGAAACTGAGGATATATGTGTAGGATTGAGCACTTGGTAGCACATGTTAGCTTAAGCATTGTGTCCCCTTTATATTACAGCTTTTTCTATACTCAAATTCAAAAATATAAAAGAATTTAAACCTCCTTTGAATTTGAAGCCATCAACATTTGTAATTGGGGGCTCCTTCATTTCGTATAACATCCTCGATCATACATTCCCTGCTTGTCATATCGATAAATCTTATTAGTCCTCTAATTGTGTGGTCATTATCACCAAAACCAACAATTAGGGCTTGATTGCACTTTCAATCTCCCATTTTTTGGTGATTGATGACAACCCAATTAGAGCTTACAAAAGATAAGAAATAAATATTGAGTTTTTGAGCCATAGGTGTAGAGCCTTCCCCTAAATATGTGAATGGAGAATTTGAATTCTCAAATTAGCATAAGAGACAAAGATTCACATTTTTAGTGAAAGTGATGGGCTCTCCCCTGTATCCATGCTCCTATGGGGTGCAGCACACTTGTGTCAAATATATAACAATGATGCAAATGACAGTTCATGCACAACAAGATAGCTGTGACAACTGGGTGCGGTACTGCCGCTCGTTAGACGCAGCATTGCCACAGAGCGGCACTGTCGGGCCAGGGTGCGGCACTGTCACGTTTGCTGCGACAGCACAGATAAGAACAAGCACCACACAACATGTAACACATATAAAGAAGTACATTCTAGCACAATTATATCACAAGTTACAACACAGATTAATACATGTCCATATCCCACACATATAGAGTACTTAGGTAGCATTATTACACAAATAGAGTTTTGATTGCCTCTCAAACTCTCACCTAGTGAAGTCCACTCTCAACGGATAAGAACATGAAGCTCCTGTTGCAGCAATATCTCCATGGCGTCGAAAAAGTTGTTGACCCCACTAATTTCTTTCCCTTTGGCATAAAGCACCAAAAAGAGAAGAAAAGAAGAAAAACCAACGAACTCACTCATCTTCTTGGATGTTCTTCCAATCGACATTATCGCCACCAGTAGCTCCGCCAGCACCTGCAGAAGCCTCCTCACCACCACCATCATCATCGTCGGAGGAGGAGGACACCGCCGCCCTCCCTTGGTGATGGGTAGTCGAAGTGTGGCGCTTATGCCTGGTGCTCCTCCTCAAGGACTGTAAGGTAGTACTCAACGTCGTGTGAGGGTCAAGCTCTAGCTGCTCCTCATCCTCTGAATCCGTGTCGAAGAGACTAGGAAGGTTATCAAACCTCAGCGGTGACTGAGCTAGAGGAAGGGGTGACAGCCTTGCATGCTCTCTAGCCCTCCGGTTGGCCTCACGGTTCTCCAACCGGTCCTCATATGCGGTCCTCGCTGCATAGGTGCAAGTAGTGAAAATGGCCTTGATCCATTTCCCAAACTTCTTCATCTTCTTGTCCTTGCGAGACCTAGAGCGAGAGGACTCAGGCATGTCTTCAACTGATGGAGAGCGTCTCACTGCCTTGCTAGCACCTGAGGCTTGGGTCTTCTCAATCTTGTACATGGTGTGGAGACCATCTTTGTCAAACTTGTAGCCAGTGACCCTCTCAATCATGAACATGAGATAGGGGGCATATTTCAGCCCCTTTCTCCCATCATCCATTGCATTTCTCCGCTCACGCCACATGAAGCGAGGGACATTGAACCTATCACCTCCAGGAGCA